AGAATTGCATGTGGTGTGTAGTTTATGAAAATATATACTTTTATATGTCTGATTTGCACGGTTAATCTACTGTGCGTAATTATCTGGAATGTGTTCCTTATTTTTCAGAAAATGGCCATTTAAATGTTTCCTGTTACCATAGAGCATTGATTCAGTGTAATTATAAAGAAAATATACCCAGCGTAACTATAAAGAAAATATACCCAGTGTAACTATAAAGAAAATATACCCAGTGTAACTATAAAGAAAATATACCCAGTGTAACTATAAAGAATTTTTAACCAGTGTAACTATAAAGAATTTTTAACCAGTGTAACTATAAAGAATTTTTAACCAGTGTAACTATAAAGAAAATATACCCAGTGTAACTATAAAGAATTTTTAACCAGTGTAACTATAAAGAATTTTTAACCAGTGTAACTATAAAGAATTTTTAACCAGTGTAACTATAAAGAATTTTTAACCAGTGTAACTATAAAGAATTTTTAACCAGTGTAACTATAAAGATCATTATTCCAGTTACCTATAAAGACTACAGTCGCAGTATTACTATACACATGTTTTTCATCCAGTGCAGTTATAAAGACTTTCATCCGGAAATTCTATTTATCCAGTGTTACTACAAAGAAAAAAATAAGCCAATGTTACTTTGTCATGTTTTATAATTACTATAAGGCACAACGTTAATTGACAATGTATAATCGATTACAGAGTAGGCTTAATCAAAAAAGAAACAATTCCTTGAATTTCAAGAAATCAATAAATTCTGATTCATAATTTCCCAATACCCTGTCACTGGTTTCTCCCATATCATTTGAATAATTGATTTAATTAGCTTTAAATAATCTTATACATAACCTAGTGTGATAATTGATAAGGGTGTAGATTGAAATTTCATTTTATCATAGTAACGAAAATATTTCTGAATGTATATAATTCACCTTGATTCGTAAGGCACAGCCCTGCCAGTCATCCCATTTTGATACTTTTATTACACAATGTCTTGGAAATGAAACATTGGAAACATTCATTTAGTTAAAAAAAGATACAATATTCACATTTCTGCAGGCCATTCAACACCATCACTCACACATTTTGCTTTCTTTTGACGTGTATATAAGACAAATATTTTTACATTCAAAACTATAAACTGCGGTAGATATACTGAAAAAAAATCTAGAGGTAAATAAAATTTCGAGGGGTATATATCAAAATTGAAACTGAGTTACGATAAAGGAAATATTATATCACGTGATAGCAGAATGTTTTAACAAAGACTTTTCACAGCCCCGTTGGATTGACATGTTATGACAAGCACGTGTAAGGAAATATCTGCAAACATCATATCGCAATGATAGATACAATACATGCCATATGACACCACGAAAAATTCTTAACAGATTTTCAAAGATATAAAACAATAGCATATTATGGAAATCAATTCAAATCAAATATAAGGAAAAGTTAATTGCACATTTAATTAATTGGTTGTGGGTCTTTAATTTTTAACCTGGGGCGATTTATTCGCCCCTGCACTGTCACTCAACGTCACTTGATCAGTCACTCCTGAACTACAGCAACGTGATCCAGCAGTTCCTTAGTATATGTTAAACACAATGCAGATGTCCCTTTTATTAAGACGTATAGGGAAACCTCACGCCTTTTGTTTTTTGCATCGTTATTAAAATGTTTAGTTTTTGTAAGTATTAAAATTTGTAATTGAGATTTCAACAACGAGTATTACTAAGCTTGTGTTAATGATTTATTATTACCATGACGAATTTCACAACATTGTTTAAGGTACAAAAATATAACAATCATTTTGCCCTACTAATTTTACTCATTTTAAACATGTATTGAAAGGTGCTACTTGAGTGCCTTTGAATAATTTCATGAAAAAGTCTTTCGTAATATGTATAATAATCCCAAGGTTATGAGCGACGTCAAAATTTATCGAATTGAGTTGCATCTTTTTTTTTATAATTGTCGGCAAATGGAAATGGACATTATTAGTCACCATAATTCGTAAGCTTAATTTGCGCATAGTTAATAAGTCTATAATTGTAATCTAATCATCAAACATTAAGGTAACCCTGACTCTTCATGACCATCTATTAAAATTGTTGTTGCTTACTTGTTATACTGCGGAATCTAGTTGTTGTTGGTAACACAATTACCTAAGTGTTGAAGTCAGTTGTTGTTGGTAACACAATAGTTAAAAAAAACTGTACAACTGTTGTTGGTAACTATGGAAATCAGTTTGTTGGTTTCATGAGGTCACTTGGCCCGAAGGCATGTTCCTAGGATGAAGCGTGACAAAGTTTGCGAAAAGAAATGACCTTGACCTATATTCAAGGTCACAGGGGTCAGTTTTGTTAAAATCTTTAAACAACTTCTACTCATGAAATTAAAGGCCTGGAGTAATGATATTTGGCTGGTATGTTCCTAGAATGAAGCCCGACAAAGTTTGGAAAAATAAATGACCTTGACGTATGTTCAAGGTAACAGAGGTCAATTTTTAAAAATCATTCAGGAACTTAAAGTCCGAGAGTCATGGTATTTGACTGGTATATATACCAGGTGAGCGCTGAAGGCCCGTTGGACCTCTTGATAATACGTGGTTTGCTCTTATATACATAAATCCTTGCTTCTTTTACTTGGCATGATTTAATTCAAACCGAAACGGTAACAGTGAATATAAGAATTGTTAAGACGTAAAATAAAATCGTAATAACAAAACATTGCTATGGAAAGACAAGTCATCTGTGACGAGATAATGACATTAATGTTTCTCATACTGAGGAACGGGTCACTAACGTTACTTCAAAGTCACCGCCTATGCCATCAGGCTAGGTTGTGAGGTATCCATAATTGTCAGACTTTTGATAATTAACACATTAAAGAGACGCAGTGTAGAAGGCAGTTCTTAAGTCTAAAGATCACATAAGTGGATGTAGTTTTTTTATTTTTTTTTTATTATTATAGTATCTAACATATTGCAAATATTCAAACACTAAATTCAACATAAAATTCTAACTTGTATCATTTCATGGTACAGTTATTCGAAAATATTTTCTTCTTGTCGTGAATATAAATTATCAAATAACATGGTAATTTGTAAAGCACGATATGTATACGTCTCGTCACGAGATAAATGACTAGTGTTGAATCCTATTAAAATCATTTCTTCTGTAAGCGCATTTTTCCTACCTGTACACCACCATAGCCTATTACAAACTGCTCTCTTATTATGAACGCTCTCTTCCCCAAGAAAGGTGAACGGTGTTACAAATATGTGGTTGTGAACTATGATGAAGCGTATGTTGTAAAACTACGTCCAAATAAGATACGATATACTTGTATAGGGAGGACGAAATCAATACAAAAATCGAATTTCTAGTTGACATTCGTCGAATTCGGTGGTAGGATCCTACAGACAATTGGTATTGACATTGGAACAATCTTTGTCCATCTCTTGGTCGACTTGATGATCTCATGTTGATGACGTCTTGTCTTTTAATAACAAGCTATTTATTTACCTACAATATATCTATGTCCATGGTATATACTTACCAGAAATGGAAATGAAGATCAATGAAGTCAACATGGACAGCCGTCCACCAAGCTGTATGATAAACGTAATGCTTTCAACCTCACGCGTGTGAATTTTCCATATCTTGATGGTTACATTCCTACGACCCCACCACGTGGTGTTTTCATGTCGCAGATGATTCGATATTTTAGGGTCTGTTCCCCAAATCATGATTTTATGCAAGATGTCGGCAAATATTTAAGTCATAGAAAAGGGTTTCGAGATAGCCAAGTAAATGAAGAGGATGTGGGAATTTTACCGTCGTCATAAAGATATCATTGAAAAATATTTTATTTCTTTGTACGATATGAAGGTAGGCGTGTTTGCTGCTCATTAATACGCCTGTTGTTACGTTGTTGTTTACCTCAGTCTCATTTGGGAGCATAACAGATTGTTTTTAACTTGGATTGACCAATACTTATATGGCAGGTGTCGTTGATAAAGCAGAAGACACTCTCCCTTCCAATAGACCTCGTCTTTTAACCTTGCACCTATATCCTCGTAAATATTTCTTTTGTTCTTATTTTGTCATAGTCTCATAATTTTTTGTTTAACTTCCGATTCTGTTTACATGTCGGTATTTTGTCGAATTAGGTTTTTTGAATGGTACTTCCTGAATATCCTATAACCTCATTAGAATACATATTAGATATCGACATATCTGTTCAATATCCATAACATCACTTTGTATTCAGTACGGGATTATGTGGAACTATTAAAAATCTCATACTTTTGTTAATCAAGCAATCTAACTACAATGTTCTCATCAAAACACATTCTCAAAACTGTACGTTTTTTTATAATTACCCTTAATATCAAACAATATAAAAAAAGTTTTCACCAGATTAAATAATTTTGGAAGAATTTCTGCATGCTACTAACCATTTTTCCTCTTTTGTTATGAAAGTAATTATTGTAAGGATAGTGAATTTCTCACAATGCATGTTTTGTAATATTCTCGTAATAAATTGTGGTTTCATTAAGACTGCAGATGGTATCCGCATTATGATGACATGTTCATGTCACAAAACCTAAGTTTTCGTGTACTGTTTCTTTATATAAAGTATGAAGTAAAATACATACCATTTAAAAATGTGAAGCGTAGTTAACCTTTTGGTTACAGTTGCGCATGATATTGGAAGACGTGCAGAAGGCACTATTTATATATATATTTATACATATATTAAAACATTTAAGTTAACTTGCTCGACGTTTCATTGTCTATTTAACATTTTATATGATTATAATGCCTGTCAGTGAAATTCATATCTCATTTCACTGTAGTGTTATTTATCGGCTAAAGGGCATTTGATATTCGATTTCAAGGATGCTTATTATCTATGTCATATTCTATCTGATTATTTTTGATACGTATTTTTCACTGTTTTATTTGTGTTTCTTGCAACAGGATGTAGAATTCTACCAAAATTTGGAGACCGAAGCATCAATAGCACTCACATGTTACAAGGATAACGGACTCAAAACACTGGAAATAGTAAGTCTTCCACAGTAACCAATTAGTTTCATCTCTTATAACATTTTCATTTTTATGATTGAATAGGCGGCACTGACAAGTTCCTTACTTGTTCGTGGACAAGTAAAGGGGCAGAACACATCTTTCTTACAGCTTATTTTTAATTACTCAGTCAAGAAATTAATTACAAAATGAAGTTGGGTAAGGTTTAAAATCAAAATGGTAAAGGGTTTCACCTGTTTCAGGAGAGACATTTACAAAATATTCTCAGTCAGTGAACATCTCCGTATGGTAAAGATCCCTATTGTGAATAATTTACGAAATGTTTCAGGTTTGTTTATTTCACATATAAAAAGATCAGAAATGTGTCGAAAACTTTGTTCAATAGCTTGACATGACGATACTTCTAGTAAACTTCCTCGTTTTCAGTTTTATTTCAATTTAATGTAAAACAAATTTTGAAATACAAATGTAGTTCTTTCTCATCAATTTACGGTATGGTAAAGGAGGTTCTAGGTAATTTCATATCGGAGTTTCGATGTCCTCTTTTTTCACTGTATTGATGAATTGATTGTTCTAGACGAGAAATAGTGATTGATATTGCTGTTAATGATTTGAGTGAGTGGCGTTTATTTACTTAGAGTCCTAACTCTTAAAATAAATAAGCATACTTAACAGAAATAGAGCAAATGTATGTAATAGGAAATTGAATAATTCATAAGCAACCATCTTTCTTTTATGTCATGATTATTTAACTTCAGACAAGATAATATTCATAAATGAAAACTGTCTGCAATAAACGGCTGATTCTGTTTAGTAATATTTATATGTAAATTGTAAATATCAAATATTAATTGTAATGATCAATGACTAAGTAATATTTGTTATCACACTCAGATTTTAATTTCAGATTACATAAAGGCAAGATGATGTAAAGGAAATGCATAAAACACAATTCAGTCATTTCCTCATTTTTGGCAAATTTTTGTGTTACACATTTCACTTAAAATGACTTTTTTAAATGATTTTTTTAATGATTTTAATCGCATATCAACAGTAGCTTTATAAAAGTGCCACACATTTTTTTATATATATGTATCATCATTTTATTTTCAGACGGGTACATACACAGCCGCCGATTTACAATATTCTTTATCTGTAGATGAAATAATAACAAATCCACCTGCAACATCAAAGGTCGTCAGTAAAACTGTATACCGTGTCACTCAAAAACCAAGAGACCTGCTCGTAAGCCATGACTATCGACATCTACGTAAGTATATTGATTATGTTAAGAAATATTTCATAGAAAAAATATACAAACTTATGCTGAATCCTACAAACGTTTTCATTATTACGTTGAAAATATTTCTCTGAGAACACAAAATATTATGTCTTGTAGAATATACAAAAATTGACTATAAATCCCAATTACGAAAATATGTATTTTTTTTTTGTTATTTTTTTTTACACTAGGTGAGAAGTATGATACAATATAACAGTAGTAGATACCCAAAAAGAAAGAATCAATATTTATTCAATAAGATGAGAGATCTAATATCTAAATTACAAATTTGACCTCTCTGATCTTGTTCACATATATTATATGTTACGAGTTACACTGATTTATGCTCAAATGAACCCTTTACATCTAAATGTTGTCAGATTCATTAATCATTTTAATGAAATTTAGGAAATTGGTATTTCAGTTGATTTAAATGCATTTGCATGCATCTCAAAGTTCAATCCTATATATCCATATTAATCATGCATGGAAACAAAAGAAAAACAGATTTGATAAGGCCTTCCGTTTGCTAAACGAGACATTCTATTCTTTTTGTGAAATGAAGCTGGACGTGTTTGATGCTCGTTCGTTTTTGCCTCTTGGTTCCGTTGTTGGATACCTTGTTCTCATTTGAGAATGTGACATTACTTACTTGGATTGACCAAGGTTTACATGGCAGGTGTCGTCGATGAAGCAGAAGACGTTACTCTTCCAGAACATCTGGTCTTGTTATCCTTGTACTTTTTTCAGGAGTCTCCGTGTAAATCTTTCTTTTGTTCATATTTTATCTAATTTTTATCGAATTTTTGAGTTTGAATTATGATTATGTTGCAATGTTGGTATTTTCTTGATGTTTCTTCTTATTGTCATGTAACAGAAATATTACGACACCGAAAATTAACATGATCAATGAAATTCAGTTGTAACATTTGTGAATACGCCATGCGAACCATGGTCATATTTTAATCCGGAATAATTACAAATAATTCAGGTGTTTTCTATCACGTTAGGCCTACCATAATGATAAAATACACATGCAAATAATGCTGACGTTAGAGACAATGTGCAATGGGAAATATTCCATTTTAACTGGTCTTTTGTTTTAGCTGCTGACCTACCTACAAACATACTCCAGAAAGATTTTCTGTCAACAACTCGACAGCCAGCAGACAATCGGTCCAGAAGAGGTGTGGGTCCACGCCTGTACACAGTTGATCTTTTGGTAGTCGTAGATTACCAGATATATCAGGAGTACGTACTATAGCAAGACTTGGTCTAATAGACTACAGTTTCATTTAATCTAAGATGACTGCTAATTTAATAGTTTGTTCATGTCAGTGCGAGAAAGAGAATGTAACATTTAAAACTTACACACAAGAATTTTACGAGTGCTAAATCCTCCATGATTGCGGCATTTCTTTTCACATCACACGTGAAGTTTACAGAGCGCCACCACAAATACACCATGACATGGCTTTAAAGGAATAGGATATTTATGTGTTGCCTTTGTGGTTAAAGATGTGAAACGCTGGTATTGATTCTTGTAAACATTATTTGCCTCTCTCTCTCTCTCTCTCTCTCTCTCTCTCTCTCTCTCTCTCATCCCTTTTTGAATGTTTGAATATATCACATATGCACACATACTATTTAATAGACAAAAGACATTGGTAATAGTATATTTTAAAAAAATTTAATTCCTATTTATAGATTGTCTAATATTCATTTTTAGCATATTTTAACTGTAAGTTATCAGTATTTATGTATCACAGTAACTAAAAAAAGAAAGTTTATTCGATATTTCTTACCTCAAAAGTTTATTATGATAAGCCGATAATACTAAATTTTATTTTGAATGAAATTTTGCAACTACAAAGGAAATTCTTCCAACGTCATCAACTTTTGATGTCACTGTTGATAGCCTTGGTTAGATCTGGCCCATTGTATGTAATTTTCTATTCTTACAGCTGGTATAAAAGAGACCTAGGCTATGATGACAACAATAAGGACCAGAATGTCAAAAACAACCTCCGGCGATACTTTTCACATTTCGTCAATGAGGTAAGAAATCAAATGAAAAGTTAATAATTCTAAACTATCTATTCTTATAAAATTTAAAAAGCTATCATATCATATGTAATGATTAAAAGTTATTTATATATATAATGAATGTATTGTAATTACCAAAAACATTGATATAAAAAATACTTCTCACCAACCAGCACTGAACTCATATGAACTATCAGTAGTATGATCTAGCAGCAATCATTTTGATTAACCTTTGTCAATATACTTTATCGTATGACCATTCTGAAACTTATTTTTGGGTTCTAATGCAACGCACTTTTAATTAATATGTATTTATTTTGTACAATCTTCAACGAAATTACATGTTTGTAAATTATGAGAAGAAAAATACCATACATCACGTCATTTATGATTCAAGAAATATGATAACCTCGTGTTTTATTTAACAGATAGACCTACGATATAAAGGAATTATAAGTGCGGATCTGAAATATGATAACCTCGTGTGTTTTATTTAACAGATAGACCTACGATATAAAGGGATTATAAGTGCGGATCTGAAATATGATAACCTCGTGTGTTTTATTTAATAGATAGACTTACGATATAAAGGGATTATAAGTGCGGATCTGAAATATGATAACCTCGTGTTTTATTTAACAGATAGATCTACGATATAAAGGGATTATAAGTGCGGATCTGAAATAAGATAACCTCGTGTGTTTTATTTAATAGATAGACTTACGATATAAAGCAATTATAAGTGTGGATCTGAAATATGATAACCTCGTGTGTTTTATTTAACAGATAGACCTACGATATAAAGGGATCATAAGTGTGGATCTTAAATATGATAACCTCGTGTGTTTTATTTAACAGATAGACTTACGATATAAATGGATTATGAGTGTGGATCTGAAATATGATAACCTCGTGTGTTTTATTTAACAGATAGACTTACGATATAAAGGGATTATAAGTGTGGATCTTAAATATGATAACCTCGTGTGTTTTATTTAACAGATAGATCTACGATATAAAGGAATTATAAGTGCGGATCTGAAATATGATAACCTCATGTTTTATTTAACAGATTGACCTACGATATAAAGGGATTATAAATGCGGATCTGAAATATGATAACCTCGTGTGCTTTATTTAACAGATAGACCTACGATATAAAGGGATCATAAGTGTGGATCTTAAATATGATAACCTCGTGTGCTTTATTTAACAGATAGACTTACGATATAAAGGGATTATAAGTGTGGATCTGAAATATGATAACCTCGTGTGTTTTATTTAACAGATAGATCTACGATATAAAGGGATTATAAATGCGGATCTGAAATATGATAACCTCGTGTTTTATTTAACAGATAGACCTACGATATAAAGGGATTATAAATGCGGATCTGAAATATGATAACCTCATGTTTTATTTAACAGATTGACCTACGATATAAAGGGATTATAAGTGCGGATCTGAAATATGATAACCTCGTGTTTTATTTAACAGATAGACCTACGATATAAAGGAATTATAAGTGCGGATCTGAAATTTGCCATCAGTATAGCAGGATTTATTGTTACCGATGTAAGTTTATCGTATTATATATATATATCTACAGCTGGAATACCAGACATTTCCTGTAATTTTGATGGACTGTTCAAATGCAAATGCAAATGATATTTGATCTTTGATATCTCTGAAGATAGTGAAATTAAATATCCGTTAATATCAAATATAGTATATACATATTTGAAATGGAGGTCAGTATATGATGTCTGCAAAGAAGGATATTTTATTGTTTTGTTGAAAAGCTTATATGAAACCGTTAATTTAACAAAACAGTAAGGAAATTACAAATTTACTATTTTCTTGTATGATTTCACTAAGCGTTATAAGAATAATAATGTTATTTCCTTACCTTGTCATTCCTTATCTAGTTATTCCAATTATCTTTTATCGACAGAAAAAGGGTTTAATCGCCTTGGTATGAAGATAATTGATGTGAAACTAGGTACTGTATCTTAACTAAATATGTATTTAAAGGTGCTATTCAGACGATTATATTTTGTATAATCTTTAAGATGGTATATTTTTATAAATCAGAAACCAGATACATATCCGTGGATAGAGATCAGAAGGGAAACGGCCAAACCAAGGGACTATGTAAATGCTGACGACGCTTTGAAAGATTTTAGGTTCTGGGTTCGAAACACCAAAGGTTTACCTCCTCATGATCACGCCATGCTGTTTACAGGGTAGGTATAACATTCAGTAATCAAACGGAGCGAAATTAAATCATCTTAAGAATAAACATGTGATGAATAAACTTAATGAAAGAATGTTCAAATGTTAATAAATCAAATAATTTATTGAGGAAGTTAAAGGATTTATCAATTTCATTTAAGAATAAGACGTAGGAATATTACTTAATTGAGACAGCATGATATGAATATATGAATTATAATCTAATTATATACCTGTTTCTTATAGCGTTGATCTTTACTCTTCAAATGAAAACACCAAGCTGCTACACACTGCAGGTAAATAAGCTTCATTGATTTGCTAGTAATGACCATGACAATATTGGTATACGTTATAAATAATTCATTTTTGTGGAGATTTATTTTCATTGGTTTTGCGGATACTATTGTTCCATGAATTCGTATGTCCATGTACTGTTAAAATTAGTGTCAGTAAATCTATTGAGCCATGTTTATGCACGAATGCACGCATTCACGAAATAGTTTTTTTTTGAACCCCGGAAACTGAGCCCAACGAAAACGTATGATTTTACAAGTCTATTAGTATCATACAGTAATTATGTAAAATAATATTGATAAATTAAATCTGTAGTCGATCAAACACGGTGAGCGAAATGATACTTAACCACTTGGTCCTTCTGTCCTTCACAGTTTGTAAACTAACGAAATGTGATGTAAACAAGAAATAATAGAAAAAGTAAGAAAAATATTACAATTTCCTGTCAGTTCAAGTGTTTACCAATTGTACTGAAACCTTCTGACTTCATCAGTTCACTGAAGAGCTCAAATACTGTAGACAACAAACCTCCATACCATAAACATGTATATTGCTGCTTCACGACGGTTTACTACAGCATTTAATTTATTTATCAATATTGCATTTATTTAAACCAAAGCATTAACCTTTATTTTCTATGATTTGTCTGTGTTGATGATATATGGTGATGTTCACCACAGGCTTAGCCTTTATCGGGTCCATGTGTCGACCTAACGGTGACAGTGTGTCAGTAGTGGAGGACCATGGAGGCTTACAGAACATCGGTACCGCTTCCCACGAGCTCGGACATAGGTACGTCTCTTTCCTATTGTTTCGAGGACTTTATTTTATTTTTGGTGGTAATTCATGCAAAATTTTGTTGAACCTAGCAACGGAAAAAACCTTGTAATTGTTAACGCTTAAAACAGAATCCCGACGTTAGCTACGCCAACACAAACTGTTATCCACAGAAAAATAACTCTACAGAAGGCCAAGGTCATATCTGGCGATGCTTAATTTTTGGAAAAAACTTTAACTATTGTTAACAATATATTTTAAAACGCAAAGGTCTATGATATTAAGCTGGAATTTATTTCATGTTGAGTTATGCCTTACTTCCGGTAAAACACAAGTTTTATACATCATTAATTATAGATATGATTTTTTTATTCTCTTATTTCATTCATCAAGTCAAATTAATTTTTTTTTCAGTCTTGGAGCGTTACATGACGGTGAAGACAACAGCTGCACTTCCTCGAACCGTTACATCATGGCCTCGTCTGGTTACGGTCCAATCCCGCCCGAGAAGCGACTCAACCAATGGAAGTTCTCGTCGTGCACAGTCGACTACTTCCGGGAGTTTATCAACAACTTGACAAGGTAATAGACTGAAAGATTTTAACTAAGGTTAATGTGGTTTGAAGAAACGAGCAAATTTCAAAGATAATCCAATTTCTACCAATCGGTTAAAATCAGGATCGATTGAGTAAATATATTGCTTTTGCTTAACTCTCGGTTTTTGCTTTCTTTATCAAAACGTAATTAGAATAAACATGTTGTTAATATGAATACATCATTCCATTTTACTGAAGTAGAAAAAAAATGTAGTCATAAGCATTTCCTGAAGCAAAATGTCAGGACAAAAAAAAATTCTCAAAATCTCAGAAATGTGAGGGATCTGTACAGAATTAGCCATGAAATGCTACATCTGTTGTTTTATAAGATTTCAAGATAGTTATGATTCGCTAATGGTACTTTGTATGTCAGTATACAACCACAATATACATAATGTTGCATTACTAATGTGCATTTCTAGAATGGGATACAGCTGTCTGTCCGACAGTTATGAAGACGTTGGTGTGGAATCCACAGAGGTGCCGGGACAACTCTTCAACCCTGATGAGCAGTGCCGGTTAATTTGGGGACCAACTTCCTATCTCTGTCGAGTAAGTAAAGAATAATTTTTTGGCACCAATTAGTCGTAAACTGAATACTTATATAACCAATTAACACCACATAACGACGATTTTCATTTATATAAAATAACTATAACACTTTATTTGTTCCTATCTGAGAACAATTGCGACCAAGCCATCGGCTTATATCAATCACATCTGTTGACCTGGGCGGGAGCGCGCGAGGTGTCGCCTATAACTGGGCCAGTGATACCCGGGGAAACATCATGACATGTGACTCTGTACCCTTACATGTTTGATGTGGTATTGTACTCCGTTCGCTTATGTGGAAAGTGTAGTACCACTTCGTCACCAGGCTTACATGTATCTACAATGTTATATAGTAATCTAACAGTAATATTGCTTCGTATAACATTACTTTTGAATATATCTTATTGTGACAAAGTATCGACTTTAAGGTCAATCTACTCTTGCAATCATCTCTTGATAAATTTGATATTCACGCTAACAATTTGTGTAATTTGTACCGTAGTTTAAAACAGCAAATATATTATGACTTACTCATAATAACATAAAGAGTGAAGATTTAGCGCATGGGAAAAGCAGAGCCACACCAGTATATTTAAGAAACACAATATACTACAATTCTAATAAGTTGTATAGTTATTCAGCCAAAAGCCTTAAATCACATTCACTGTTATAATTACTCACGTACCACACTAATTAACTTTGTTTTAGTTTGTGTAATAAATTTATCATTAAAAACGTCCCGCAACAGATTTGTAATCATAAAAGTTACGGCATGTGGGAAGTGTATTCTAATATCTAAATTTGTAGTTTTCAAATCATAAACGTTACGGCATGTGGGAAGTGTATTCTCATATCTAAATATAATTGAAATGATGATGAATCAGTCTCACTAGAACATAAAGTATGAATGACTAATAAGAATGAAATTAAATTTTACTAAATAGTCAACAAAAATAAATGAAAATGTTCTATTTGAAATTTCATTAACACATTTATATTGCGTGTAATTAATGAGTTTTGTTGAACGATGAAATTCAAAATAAATGAAAATACGTTGATTAATTACATAAATTAAAACTAGTTATATTAATTGCATTTTAGGGCTATGAGTTTGGTAATGCCAGCACAATATGCACAGCAATGTATTGTAGAGACCCAGCCACTGATAGTGACTGTGTACTACACTTCGCGGCTAGAGGTACATCATGTGGGAATAAAAAGGTGAGTAAAAGGTGCCCTGTAGAGGGTAAATGTGTCCTGTAGAGGGAAAAGGTGTCCTGTATAGGTAAAAAGATGTCCTGTAGAGGGAAAATGTGTCCTGTAGAGGGAAAAGGTGTCCTGTAGAGGGAAAAGATGTCCTGTAGAGGGAAAAGGTGTCCTGTAGAGGGAAAAGGTGTCCTGTATAGGTAAAAAGATGTCCTGTAGAGGGTAAAGGTGTCCTGTAGAGGGAAAAGATGTCCTGTAGAGGGAAAAGGTGTCCTGTAGAGGTAAAAAGGGGTCCTGTAGGGGTAAAAAAAAGTGTATACAGAGATAAAAAGACGTCCTGTAGAGGGAAAAGATGTCCTGATGGGGTTGAAAAGATGTCCTGTAGTGATAAAAAGGTGTCCTGTAGAGGTAAAAAAGTGTCTTGTAGAGGTAAGCAGTTGTCCTACAGAAATAAAAAGACGTCCTGTAGAGGTAAAAAGACGTCCTGTAGGGGTAAAAAAAGTTTATACAGAGGTAAAAAGGTGTCCTGTAGAGATAAAAATATGTCTACAGAGGTAAACAGTCGTTCTACAGAGATAAAAAGACGTCCTGTAGAGGGAAAAGATGTCCTGAAGGGGTAAAAAAATTGTCCTATAGTGGTAAAAAGGTGTCTTGTAGAGGTAAATATGCATCCCACAGAAGTAAAAAGGCGTCCTGTAGAGGGAAAAGGTGTTCTGTAGAGGTAAAAAGGCGTCCTGTAGAGGGAAAAGGTGTTCTGTAGAGGTAAACAGGCATCCTGTTGAGGACGAATGCCTCCTGTAGAGGGAAACGGCGTCCTCTAGAGGAAAATAGGCGTCCTGTAGAGGTAAAAAGGTGTCTTGTAGAGGTAAATATGCGTCCCACAGAGTTAAAAGTCGTCCTATAGAGGGAAAATGTGTTCTGTAGAAGTAAAAAGGCCTCCTGTAGAGGGAAAAGGCCGCCTGTAGAGGTAAACGGCGTCCTACAGAGGAAAACAGGTGTCCCATACCTTTTACCAAGCAATAGGAGTTTTCGAAACACATCATGTAGGTGAAAGTAAAATTTGCTATCCATTTCGCCATTGAAACGGAAAAAGAATGGAATATTTCTGTCGTTACAGTTGTAAGATTAATTACCTATTGTTAGTGTAGAGCAGATATGATATAAATGTTGTTAATGAGTCACTTTTGTTATATTGTACGTACAGAATATCCTTGTATTTTCAGTGGTGCTCTGCTGGAGAGTGCGTTTTATCGCCACACGCTCCAGAAAACCAAGGTAATTTGGAGATGGCATATTTGAGTTATAACGTTCGGGTGAACCTAGTCAATTAAAAACCCATAAATACAAATGTATCATGTCTGATTCATAGATTTAATTAGGAAGTAGATTAACGATATATACAACATATCAGATAGGCGTCATCGTATTAAGGCAGTATACAACAGGTATCACGATATGTATAGTTGTTTATCATATAAGTAATAGAAAAAGAATGAGCTTATGAAGGTAATTTTAAATGACAACCTCATTGATAAATGACGTCATTACTGATGTGTAACTTTTGATAGTGGATTTTAAAAAATATTTGGTTTACAACAGGAACATGTCTACTTGGTGACCAGCCTGGGATTGCTTTTATATCGAAAACTTGTGATGAATTGGTGAACGAAGTACCTGCTTACTGTTACCAGGAGAAAGTGCGAGCGCGCTGTTGTGGTTCATGTGGCAAATATTACACTTGGAGGAAAGGTATGTAGTTAATTAGGCATAAAAACATGTCATCTTATCGCTTAAAGACGCTTACTCACCGTTTTAAGTATGCTATGCTTATTATCAATTATTATGTAACATAATTAATATGCAAAATGTCGTATTGTCTATGTTTCAATTAGAATATGATACATGATAACCGTAATAATTAATTATGTCGTAAAACAGTAAATTATTAGCACGGACAACTACCGTGTTTAATATTAATTCGTAAAATGTAAATTAAGAAAGATAACCTGCACTCATTATCAAATTACCAAATCAGTAATTCATATTAATAAAAAGTATCATGAACGTAATTTATTACTGAACTATCACCAGGTAACTACAGGAGATGTTTTGATTATCAAAGGTTAACAATGTCAAAACAATGTTAATGAAAGTATGAAAATTCACGTATAACTGTCGTATAAACGCATGAAAAACAAGACTTTAAATAAAATCCTCCGAACTGTATTATTCTCTCTCAGGATGTGAGTATGGAGATCGTGTGAAGGGATGCCAAGCTTGGCATTGTAACATGATAAATACTGAGAGCAACATAGAGTCCGATTGTTGTGGCACGTGTAAAGTCGGTGAGAAAATCACGACAACACCGACACCAACCTTCACGGTGACGCCGCAACAAAAACCGGAACCGCCAACAATACGTACATCGTGTAGCGACAAGGCTGACATCAACGACAAGTCTTGTGAGGACTTTGTTCACACCAATGGCCCCCATCTTTGTTACGACAGTATCATTGAATCCTTCTGTTGTCACAGCTGTTTCAAGTTACGACAGAATGAATATCCAGGTAGGCATGCATAACCTGATTGTCAAGCCCTGTGTCCGTGTTACTTACTTTATCTGAAGTATTGAAAATTACAGATTCAGATTTTTTCACTCTTGCAACATTTTTGTGAAACGAAGATAAATCATAGGAGATGGATTTCCTAGGAGGGAGAAATTTGGTAAAAACAAGAAAATAACAACATGTCAACATTATCATAATCCAAACTCAAATTCGATTAAGACAAAATATGAACAAACGAAAAATTTACACGATGGCTCCTGAAAAGGTCAAAGGAGTAAGTATCTTTTACATCGACGACATCCGCCATGTAATTCTTGGTCTATCCAAGTAAGTAATGTTGTGTTCTCAAATGAGACAAACGTACATACGACGGAACCAACAGACAGACTAACGGGCATCAAACACGCCCAGTTTCACATAGGACAAAGAAATATAATGTGTCTCAGTGAGATCACTATGACGACTATAACTCCCCCATAATTTTCACCAATATGCATCATTTGAAACCATGTGCTAGGAATTTATCCGTCAGTTGACGACTTCTTGCACGAAAATCCTGATTTTGGGAACAGGCCCTTGAATATCGAGCCAACTGCGACATCTATCTGCTGTCCAGACATCGAAAATTCACAATAGGGAAAATAAAATCATAACACTCAAGACAAGAGCATGAAGAAAAAGAACATCTGTAGACTGATACACAAGGATCCGTGTATACTTATATGATGCCCTCGTGTATTATGTTCTTGTGGCATGTCTGAAATGAAATGCAGTTATGAAAAATTAGAAAAAAAACATGTTTTAATACTATATAAATATTGTATATTTCAGAATGTTTATATGGAGACAGACTACCATCGCTGTGTTCCAATTCTAAGAACCATTCCGCCAGCTGGTGCGAGACATATAAGTCTGATTGTTGTGGAATATGTAGGGAAATAGCTTCAGGTGCTCCCGCCTTACAGTGGAACGTTGGACTTACAGCGTTATTTATCACTCTCCTAGTGTTCATTTGATAGTGATAAAGGAGTACTGAATCAGAGGAATTCCAGCAACTTGTTATCACATTCGAACCAAATAAAACGACTACAAGTCGGTATTGAGGAACAGACAATAAGCCGAGTGGAATTGACTCAGTCAGTGTTTAAGATCTGGTGGACAGCAGCTCGTCTGTGCCTTGCTAAAGTTTTTCAAAGATTTACACAAAGGTTTGGAACCGCGTTGTTACCTCAGCAACTTTGTGTCAAGAAGAAATTATATTTTAAATTGCTAACCCCAAACCTATGCCGAACCTATTTTCGATAAACGTTGTACTGATAGTGGTAATTATGCCTGCTATGCGCGAATGTGTGTGTATTGATGTTTATGTATATACACATAGGTGTATGTATAACAATGCAGTCTTGTCCTAACTTCAGTACGGTCCGTATTGTAACTACAAAGATCGAGTTGCTGTAGAGCCCGAATAGAATGACCTGTTCCGTTGACCTTGAGAGGTTACATTTATTCTTAGATATGTCAACCTGTTACTTATAAGGTGTATTCCATACTAAGTACAGTGTACAGTACAGTGGATGATGTGGTTTACCCTTTCCCCCATTTTACTATCGAATCGTCCCTATTTAATATGACAATGAAGGGTGAATACGACATCATGGACGGACTAAAGATAGAAATCGTAAGCCAATATTGATACCTTGGAGATATAATAAATGTTATCTCCATACCTCCGTACCTCTCGCTAAGACTGTGATGTTTCTTCTTCCGATACTTTAACCGTGGTAAATAGTAGCTGCAATTTACAATTCAGAGAGAATCCCTTTTGGCTCATTCAGGTGAACATTAGTTTGGTAAACAAGAGGTCACAGGTTCGATCCTAAGTCGGGACATTGAAATAAAACAATCACCTCTGATATATTTCATGTAGGGAGTTTAAGCCGGGATGATCCAGGATCATCGCAACATATCTCCTAGACTCAAGAACTTGTGTTTTCCTAGGGGGTGAAGTATGTGATTCTGATATGTAGCTTGACCAGTGGGAATGTCTCTGAGCATATGACCAGTGTTACAGAGGTCCGGGGGTCGATAAAAAAAAGATACATTAAAATGATGAAACATTTGGAGCCGTATATTATTGGAGAGAATTCCTTTATTACAGATAGAAAAATCTCGCAGAATGAGTTTTTAAATATCGTGCACAAGGTGCTCTTTTCTCAAAATAGGGGTAACATGTTCATTACCATGGAAGACGAAATCATCAGGACGGAGGTGATTATGATATACATAACAAATATTACCGTGAGACACACAGGTTTATCATAGTTAACTATGTCTTTATAAACTCTGGAAGATACCGTTAATTTATTATATCATTACGATATGTTTCTATGGTTACTAACATATGTTACAGACACAAAGCTCGGTACAAGTTAATGGTGTGCTTTCTCGTTATTTTACGTTAACCAGTCAAATAGTACCCAGTGTCAATGTTCTACAAGTCTATAGTTATTTACGTTATACTTTTACATCAAAGGTGCCATATTAATTGCTAGACTGTAAGTATTCAACCATCAGGCATTGTCCCCATAATACAGTCAGCATTACAAATCGCAGTTAGCATAATTTGTGTTTATAAGTTAATACCGAGTCAAAGTTTGCTCTACTCACTACAGTTTGCGATTGAGTTACTAACAGCTCAAAGTTTACTCTGCACACTACAGTAAGCGATTGAGTTACTAACAACTCAAAATTTATTCTCTACAGTAAGCGATTGAGTTACTAACAACTCAAAGTTTACTCACTACAGTTAGCGATTGAGTTACTAACAGGTCAACATTTACTCTGCTCACTACAGTTAGCGATTGAGTTACTAACAACTCAAAATTTACTCAGTACAGTAAGCGATTGAGTTACTTACAGCTCAACATTTACTCTGCTCACTACAGTTAGCGATTGAGTTACTGACGACTAAAACTTTACTCTGCTCACTACAGTTAGCAATTGAGTTACTAACAACTCAAAATTTACTCAGTACAGTTAGCGATTGAGTTACTTACAGCTCAACATTTACTCTGCTCACTACAGTTAGCGATTGAGTTACTGACGACTAAAACTTTACTCTGCTCACTACAGTTAGTGATTGAGTTACTGACAACTCAAACTTTACTCTACTGATTATAATTTGATTTTGAGTTAATAACAGTTCAAAGTTTGCTGTACACATTCTAGTTGACGATGTCTGCATTGATAGTTGAAGTCGGGCTCTATAACATTTTTTTACAAATTATAGCTAGCCTAACAGCTAGTCTGATTTTGATTAATTCCAGTACATTTCCATAAATACATTTACCATGATTATTGAATTGAATCATTTCGCTGATTTTGAGGGTAAATAATATATATATATTTAACTTACAATTTAGACGCAAATTGTTTGTCCAGACATTTAGTGTTCAAGTTCACATTACGTCATTGAATATGTGTATCATGTTAAATAGGATGTATGTAGTCAGTTGTGTGTGTTTAAATAAATCTAACGGCATTACTTCTAAAGATAGTTCTACAATTTTATAGTAATTTTATTGTTTAGGATTCAATGTTGCTATCAGAACAATTAATATAATAGATCCCACAACTATCATCTGACAAAACTTTTATCAGTAAGAATGTTACAATGTGAGTTTGCCGTAAGCAATAGTGTGGTAGTTCTATCTAATAAAATTTCTTCATGAAATATATAAGATTTGTTGATTAAATAAAATTGATGAAGAATTTTATTGTTTTGTGTTTTTCTAACATTTTAGATTGTAGATTGTAGATTTAATCGCTATGTAAAAACATATTATATGTGCCATCAAGTGTGTCACTCTGTTTAATTAAATTTGATTGGAACCAGAATTCCGAAGAACCGATGAGATGCTTGACAGTTCGTGTTAATAACATTTCTACTCCCACCACTGTTGAAATCTGGTTGTAGTGTCTTAATATCTCACCGAGTAGGTTTGTGTTTCCATTGCTTGTTTTATTTGTTTTGTCATATTTTTCTCTTTTCCTGTTGTCTTTCTTATCATAGCGTTGTCCACTCAGTTCCAGTTGCCTTTCCTATTTCAATGTTGTCTCCCAAGTTGATATAAATTTAGAAATAGCTGAGGTAAGTAGATAAGAGTGGGATAGAGTTTATTTATTTTCTTAGTATACAATATATAAATGTGCAGCTAAGTATGTTTCCTAATTAAGCCACAAACCTGTAAGTTAGACACATGTACATCTATCAGGTTCAGACTGAATAATTTTACTCGTATACATAATTTTGAGTGTTTTGTTTACAAAGTGCCACACGTGATAACTCTTAGAGTACAGACACTCACTATATATACATTATACATTTTAACATAAAATGAATGTGTCTTTTTTCGGCAATGAATCATATAAAATCTCATACCGTTAGAAAGGAAATGTTATATTCATTACGTCTGTATTATTCTCATTTTTGTACAATTCTAAAAGCAAAATATATTCTCACGTTAATTGCAAGCGTTGTGTTTGTTACATGCGAAATATAGCCAGTGACAGACCACTTGCCACTTTCAGAGGTGTCTAACTATACGCTAGAAAGATTAATAAACGCAGGATAAAGTGTTATTTTGAAAACTGCCAGTTACAAAATGAACTTTATTTTCACTGATCGGTAGTTAATAAGCCTATGCTCGCTATTTAGCCATACCTACACGAGTTTTCTGTTTAATTTTCAATTCGTAATGTGGAATCCTATCGCAAAGTTGTGCATTATATGCTTTGAATGACTTGTGTGCGGACGATGTAAACACGATGCCCACAGATAATTTTGGTGCGTTATGCGTTACCACAACTCTATTTCGAGGTTGTCTGTCCATGCCCTGTTGTCTTTACTATAACGATGTTGTCTCCTCAGGTCTATTTGACCTTTTACAATATTTTCTCCGTAGTTCCAAGTGGTTTTTATATTACAATGCTGTCAGTTACTGTTTTCTTACCTATAACAATACTGCCTCCTCAATTCCTGTTGTTTATCCTGCCTCAATGTTGTCCCCTCAATTCCTGTTGTTTATCCTGCCTCAATGTTGTCCCCTCAATTCCTGTTGTTTATCCTTCCTCAATGTTTTCCCCTAAATTCATGTTGTCTTTCCGATCACAACCACGTTGTTTCCTCTGGTCCTGGTTTTTTCCTTATGTAATATTGACTCTGTAGTTCCTAGTGTCTTTCAAACCACATTGCTGTTAGTTATATTTGTCGTTTGTATAGTCGCGTTTATATTACAATTCCGTCAGTTGCTGTTTTTTCCCTATTACAATGTTGTCATCTCAGTTCCTGTTGTCTTTACGATTACGATGTTGTGTGTTCAATGTCTGCTTAATTCCTACTGTCACTATTACAATGTTGTTTTCTCAATTCCTGTTGTCTTTGCTTTAATGATATTTTCTGTTCAGTTTCTGTTATATTGCTATGTTGTCTCCTTAAAACCTATTGTCTTTGCTATGACAACAATGTCTCTTCATATCCTGTTTTCTTTCCTACTATATATCATCTCCTCATTTCCTGATGCTTTCCTCCTATATGTCATCTCCTCATTTTCTGTTGTCTTTTCTACTATATGTCATCTCCTCATTTCCTGTTGTCTTTCCTACTATATGTCATCTCCTCAGTTCCTGATATCTTTCCCACTATATGTCATCTCCTCGGTTCCTGTTGTCTTTCCTACTATATGTCATCTCCTCATTTTCTGTTGTCTTTTCTACTATATGTCATCTGCTCATTTCCTGTTGTCTTACCTCCTATATGTCATCTCCTCATTTCCTGTTGTCTTACCTACTATATGTCATCTCCTCATTTCCTGTTGCCTTACCTACTATATGTCATCTCCTCAGTTATTGTTTTCCCTTCCTATATGTCATCTCCTCATTTCCTGTTGTCTTACCTCCTATATGTCATCTCCTCATTTCCTGTTGTCTTACCTACTATATGTCATCTCCTCATTTC